ACCCACAAACTTCAAAGAGGCCATGCTTCTAAAACAGGGCTGGTCCAGAGCCACAGGGGGGCTGATAGTGGATCATGGATTTTTGTGACTGTATGATGGCTGCACTGAAGGCTGCTGCCACCAGCTCAAACAAATATCTGTGTGTTTCTGGGTGCAGCACGCTTGTATATTTATCTGCACTGTTTATAACACTACACTTCTACGCTTACACATCACATGTTGATATATACAGTATATGTAGACTAACACCCAGCAGCAGAGATCAGGTTTTTTAGCATGCACACACTGTGATATGTATACTGTATGAATGTGTGTGTTGTGAAGCACTGTAATGACAGCCTGTCTCTGAGAGGCATGTAAACTCCAGCATATCATGTGACCAGTGTTGCGACCTGTTGTTGTGTGTGTAGCCTATACTTAGTCAAGTCTTAGTTTGCTAGAAATTAGTATCGTGCTCTCACATACAGTATTGTTGCATTGTTTGTTTTGTCTGAATGGCTGCCCTCACTGAGTCTGATGCAAACATTCAGGTTAATGTTTACAGTGCCACGTGTTCGTTCATTCATTCATTGAGGCAAGAGGTCTAGTTGTGCCACAAATCTTACAGTCTCCACAGTTGACATCATCATGGATTTTCAGTGGAGACGGACCTGTAAAGCATCTGTTGTGTTGTGAGTCATTTCACTAATGATTTAAGTAAAAGTAAACAACCTCATGAGGTACAAGACTTGATTACATGTAGATAGTCTGGCGACTCGTCCAGGTTGTACTTCGCTTCTTGCCCATTGTCAGCTGGGACAGGCTCCAGCCCCCCTCATGATCCTGAATAGGATAAGAGGTAACAGACAATGGATGGAATTGATTAGGCGATCAAAAGAAAATTAATGGTCAGCTTTTTTGATTATTGATTAATTGTTTCAGTCATTTTTTATGCAAAAATGTCAAACATTTGCAACATTTTCAACCCCCTAAATGTGAGAATTTACTGCTTTTCTCTGTTTTTTTTAATGAAGAGTCTTTGGGTTTTTGATCATTGGTTGGACAAAAGAAGCAATTTGAAGACTTCATCTGCAAAGATGCATAAAAGCCATTCTTAATTGATTGATGTTCCCTTGAATATCAATATGACTTATTAAATTCTTGTAAAAAAATCAGAGATATTTTATCAAAACAACCCAACACTTCCTCTGGTAAATTGCGTTGTGCCACAATTTTTTGACGTTTATAGACCAAACCATTAATCGATAATAAGAATAACTGTTAGTTACATCCATAATGTACAGTAAGTTACTATGACAAGTTAGAGTTTCAGAGAAGTTTATTGAATTAATCTAAGAGTTGGTATTTGGCGGTTTGCTAGGTAAATACCACGTAGGCTTATTTCTCAAAGTAGCTAATGCTAAGTTGACATGCCGAAATGACTACAATGATTGTTAGCTTCACAAAATGCATTAGCTGGTGTGTTAGTCGGATGTGTTTATAAAAGACAGTGGTAATTAGCTGATCAAACATTGTAGTTTTCTAGCTCAGGTGTTCCCAAACTCTTCCATGCCAAGGCCCCCAAATAGCATTAGCTTATGGTCAGGGGCTCCCCTTTTGCAAGATGTCTCTAACTCATTGACAATACTGCTACTTCTAGCTAGATGCTAGCAAGACACCTGCTCGAGGATGTGCTTATCACCTTTAAAACCTTTTTATATACAGTATATGTATATATACATATTAGGAATAGACAAATGGCAGACATGCACAACAGTAAGTGATGGATGAGATACTGTGGCAGTGGGAGTGTGGGCTCTTTGTGCAGATATGCAGCCCTCACACAGAGTGCTGTATCAATATTCAGATGGAGGATTTGATGCTCTGTAGTTCTCTGCAAAAGAGCTTGTCGATGCATACAGAGAGACAGAGCTCTGCAGGAAAAGACAGAGTAGAATCCATGCTTTGTCTATTCCCATGATCTCCATTATGCAGCCTATGTTGTATGTATGCATTGTATGTATGGACAATGGCTGGAAGATGGTGTGTGATGTTTAGAGGAGGGTCTGTGTCTGGGGTTACTGTTAGCATCTTGAGAGTGTGACAGCGTACTGGCAGCTGTAACTGCAAAAATGTATCTGGTTTTCTGTGTTTTCATTAACATTTTAAAGTGTCCTCTTTACTGCATAGAGCTTTTTAAACTGTGTTTCTGTATGTATGCAATTATGTCTTCTTTGGTTAAACAAAAATTTTAATACCTTATGTGAAACTACTGTATATGCAGTATGCAGTTTTGAGTCACCCCTCCCCTCCGCTGCTGGCCTTGCTACTCTTTTTCATCTCTTTTCCCTTCTCTCCTTCCCCCCTCCTGCTCCATGTCTTTTTTGGCTGTTGCTGCAGTCTCCTGGCACACACTGGACTTTCATACTGCTCTATATTAGCAGCAGGGAGAGAGACAGTGAGAGAGGGAGGAGTGTGGGACAGTCAGTTAGGGAAGAAAGGATGACAGAAGAATACTGATGCGAATAACTGCAGCCAAGCACCGATGGTTACTGCATATACATCACTCAGCCTTTGTCACTGTGGACAGTTGGCCCTAAAGAGAGCTAATTGAGAGGAAGAAGGACGCAGGGGGGAAAAATAACCAAAGTGGTCGTGCAGTTCAGTGGGCAGAACACGTGGATACAGTAGCTTTCAGTCTCCATGGAAGCCTGGTTTCTCTTCAGGCCTTCAGTAAACATGGACTTTATGTCCTTAACATACTTTTAGGAGCTTTGTGTACCAAAAGTCATCTGCTTTATTTGTTTATTTTCGCCGTGGGTCAAAGAGTGCAGTACTTGTTTGCACCATCATGTAGTGCAAGCCAGAAAGTTAACAATGATTAAAAGTGACTATTAAAAGATGTTTAAGGGTAATCTCTTGAGACTGACAGCTTACCTGACATAAAAGCCCAAAGGATTATGAAGCATTACCTGAAAATTAGAAACAACAGGGGAATCTTACTTCCTGGCTCGGGTTGTATCTAGTTTTTAATACCTTCCTGACATTTCAGCAGGGTCTACGGTATATGACGGTATTTGTTTAAAAACAAACATTAAAGCTGATAGAAATTATTGTAGCATGTATTATAATGTGTAGCCTACAATGAAAGGTCGGCAACATGTTCCAACCGGCCACTGTCAGCGTAACAACCAGCGATTGTCAGTGTATTCACACAGGTGCGTGTGCAGCTCCCCCTGTAGTTTCAGTTGGAAGATGTGTTTGAGCGGCACGTTCACCAATTGCACAAGTAGGGTTGCAGCAGTATACTGGGTTCAAGGTATACAGTGGTATAAAAAATGTATGGTTATTGTACTGTGTAAATTTGATTATCTACGATATTTAAAAAAAAAAAAAAGCCACTGGACGGAGAATCTTTATTTTATTTTAGTCATTTACAAAAGGGAGAATTTCTACACGTACTTCCATTTAAAACATTAAAAAAGGTTTGAAATTTTTAAGTTTAAATTATAGCAATAAAACGTTTATTCAACCTGTAATACCACGGTATTTTCTGAGACAGTTATAGTACCGTGAAACTCTCATACTTTTGCAACCCTGTCCACAAGCTCTCATAGTTTTTTTAGTGAATAAATAAACAACATACCTTCACAAGTTGCCAAGAAATGGAATCCTTGAAAATGAAATATTTTCACACGTTTTCCCATTAAAAGGAAAACTACAACCATCCAAATTAAAGTTTATCTCTTTCACTGAACTAAGACTAACATTAGCTTAATAGCTTGTTAACTCATCGGAAAATACACTTAATTTAAACTGGACAGAAACAACATTCACTGTTCTGACAGTCACCAACTCTGGTTTGGTCGAAACCACAGAGTTAGATGTGAAAATATGCTGTCCGTTCCTGTGGTCTCTCTTCAGTTGCTGGCTGTGTTTAGTTGTGTAACATTATCCCCACCACTCGCAGTTGCCATCTTTCTCAGCTCAGCTGCCTGTTCCGCCAATAGAGACTGACTTCTGGTGGTGCGTGCTGCACACTACAATACATCACCTTGATACAGCATCTCTGTATCAGTTCAATAGAAAGAGGAGTGGCTGTATTTTTGACAGCATTGAAAATAATACCTTTGGGATTTCTAAATACCCCGGTATACTGCACAAGCCTACTCACTCCTAAGAGCTGATTGATAATGCAGAAATAAAACTGTCCCTGGCTGAGAAAATAACACATTCAGCACATGGCTCCTGTATATCTGACCCTGTCTCTGGTACTCAGAACAACATCAATGAGAAAACAAAAGGGAGATACGACTTGAATGAAGAAGAGGCAGAGGATGAGAAGGCTGAGCAGATTGATCAGCATCTGAGGCAGAGCAGATGAAAGAACATGAAAAACTGAAGAGACAGATCGAGGTTTGGGAGGGGGAGGAGGGGGAGGCGCGAGACAGAAGGAGATGAGGCAAAGTGTGTGTGTGTGTGTGTGTGTGTACATGACTTAATGAGCAGGCTAGACTGTAGATGATGGAGTAAGGAAACTGCTCCATTAATATAGAAATACATAAAAGTCGTTCAGGTACACATTCTTCTGACACACGAGCATTATTGATTATCAGAATGATAAATGAGGAGTTTAAAGGGAGACAGGTTTAATCAAACAACCTCTCCAGTGAGTTTGTGTCTCTTAAAGCCAAAGCAAGTAATAGTTTCTGCTGAGTCATTGTGGCTCTGTGTTTGCTGTATATTGTTATAGTGACTGGTGTAGAGATGCCTGAAGATAGAGCATAACAAATGCAGCAAGATCCTGAAAGCATAGTCTGAATTCCCTTGATTTACTATGTGAATGTACCATGATTGATTCTTTAAAGTAGAGTCAGGATTGTGGACTTGTGAATCAGCTTGTTGCAGTACATTTGCAAAGACAACTCTTCTTTTTATTTATGTTTATTTCTGTATACAGAAACTGGTGAATCCCAATAGTAACCCCCTACCCTCTGTCTCTCCCTCTGTATTCCCTCCAGATTTCAGAGATTTATGTGAGTGGTGAGTCAGGCGACCTCACAGCCAAAGAGAAGCTGTTATTATGGAGCCAGCAGGCGACAGAAGGCTACCCCGGCCTCCGCTGTGTCAACTTCACCTCATCCTGGAGCGACGGACGCATGTTCAACGCTCTGCTGCACAGATACAGGTGAGAGGATAACAGCAAGATAGTGTCACCTTGTTTTTAAGTGGTTATAAAGTCTGGGTTTTCTTTTATCAGAGTTAAACTGGTTGAGATGGAGAGAATCTTGAAGTGCACATACACTAAACTGAAGCAGAAAAACACAGGCCTAATTATCTTTAAGATACTCAAACAAAATATTGATAGACAGACGCACACATAAAGTACACTAACACACCCCCTTGTGTATGTTTTCCAGGCCAGACCTGATCAACATGGAGGTGGTGTCGCGGCAGAGTAACCGCGAAAACCTCGAGCAGGCCTTTGAGATCGCCGAGTCGCTAGGGGTGACCAGACTGCTGGACGCTGAGGGTGAGACTGTTATTCTGAATGGATAAACTGACCAGCTGACTCTCTGCCTGTTCAGGGGAGAACAGAGGCTGAGAGTTTATTTATAACAACTCCACATTTTGGTTACTGAGCTTTTTCTGCTGAGCTTTTCAATCCAAAATGTTTAAACAGCACAAAAAAATCAACAACTCAGGTGGACTTTTTGTTTCCAGCTTTTATTGTGGAAACATGCCAGCAAGCTCTAATGACTGACTGATGAATGCTAATATGTTTTCCTGGCTCGAGCCTCGATACGTCTTTGCATTTTTATTTTGTATCTCTTCACACAAGTGCCTTAAAAATCAGTTGCCCTGAGATATCAATGTCCTCTGAGCAGAGACAGTTTGTTATATCTGTGCCCAGTTTTCAAGGCGTGAGTGTCGGCTACTGTGAACGTTTAAATGTTATTATCTAATGTTACCTGTCACTCAAGTGTTAAGCATTGCTGTGCTATTTTTGCAGGCAGTCATTCTCTTCTACCCCTTTTCCACCAACATGGAACAGGTTCTGTTCTGGTTCTTGTGCCCTTATTTTGAACTGTTCTGAGCTTTTCAACCAAAAATGAATTGGTTTTTAGCTGGAACCAAAAAATAACAGGTTTTCCTCGACCTGAAATGTGAAGCTTGATGACATCAATGGTTATGTCATGTTGTACATATTGGAGAAAGAGGATGGAGTCTTGCATGTCATGTGGAACTGTTGCTCCCTTAATTTATGTTAAGAAGCGTTTGTTTTACTAGTTTTAATATCTACATATTTTATGGTTACACTTATTCTCTAGCTGATAGAGTTTGATATTGTATGCACTAAATCAAGTTTGATTCAGATCGAAAGAGGATTTGGAAACTGCAAAATTCCAACTTCATTATTTCTTCTAACTGATAATGTGGTAAACACTAATTTTTTCATCTTTCTTTGATATTTCTCCTCCTCTTCAGACGTTGATGTTCCATCTCCAGATGAGAAGTCGGTCATCACCTATGTCTCCTCCATCTATGATGCCTTCCCCAAAATCCCTGAGGGAGGAGAGGGCATCACCGCACAGGTACGTCACAATCAGCTCCACCCATATACACCACTTTTACTGTGCAGCTGTTTTTAAGTTTGAACTCATTATTTTTTCTGCAGTTTAATGAAGATGGTTCACACTGCTGAGTTTGTTTTGCTAATTTGTTCAGTTTCAGGGTAATTCTTGTACTGTACTGTATGTATTGCACTTCAAAGCATGTTACACTTCTGCTGTATTTGACATTTTTGCTCCGTTCTTTGTTTATTTTTAAAATACTTTTTTTTTGTTTTCTTCCTCGTGTTAATAATTGCTTCATTCTCAGCAGAAATGTGTATTCCCACTTTGTTTGCTTGTCATGTGTGCAGCTTTCTGAGTAACAAACTGGAACTTTCAAATAATGATGCAATTAATTTAATTGTGCTGCAGTCATTTATAATTAATGAGTTTTTGTAAAATGAAGCCTGGAGAAAGACTAAAAATGTTAAGTCTGTGAATCTGTAATGTCTAATTCTCTACTGAGAAATCACTGCTCTCTCTCCATCCCCTCCTTCTCTTCTCCTCCATCATCAGGAGGTGGACCAGCGCTGGTCAGAGTACCAGTCCAGGTTCTCCTCTCTGCTCCAGTGGAGCCGCCAGCATACGGTCCTCATGGCCAACAAAAACTTCCCACAAAACCCTGTGGAACTCAAGGTGAGCACCCAAACTTTTTTCTTCTTTTGAGACCTTTATTTTTTTGTCATAGGCATGCTGCTGTCTGTTACTGCTCTTTCAAAGCCCCACTCCAGCCAGTGTCACTTCCTGTTTTTTGTTTAACATTCTTTAACAAACAGAGAATGGGGTGTGGTTAATAGTCAGATGTAATCCATTACCTTGGCAACAGCCATTCTAGCATACAGTACGTGTCAAAGCGATAGCATGGATATTAGTATATATAGTGATAGCAGTCACTCTAACATAAGTTAAAAGATGGAGGAATTTATCCAGCGCCCAGAAGTCCCCGCACATCCACTGGCAAAAGTCCACCAGGTTTTGCGTCACCCAGCGGACCTTTGCTATACTTCATCCTGTACCAGCCAGTAAAAAGGCTACTTCCGCACCACAGCTGCTCCCTAAACGGTTTTGCATCTGTTAGAATGATTTTTGGATGCAAGGAAGCATGACAGGGCACATGCACAAGTTCTGAGGATGACTATGACCTTAAGCTTTTATCATAGTCATGCATCATCTTCCTGTTTTCGCCACAAGCAAAAAAAAAAAAGTAAAAAAAATGTTTATTTTCTCAGCTCCTTCTGAAGAAAGGGAGCTGACAAGCAAGTTCTGTAAAACCTTGAGAAAACAAATGAAGGAAAAGACCGCGGGGAGGGAAGGGAGGGACAGACTTTAATAAAATGGATGACAGCAGACTGAGGTGTTTGGTGAGCGAGAAGGAGTGAAGAATTCAGATGAAAAGAATTTGCAGAAGAGTCGAACAATAATGTGAGGAAGGATGCTGCTGTGATCAAAGTAATGGTTGACATGATGTCTAAAGACCAAGAGAGAGGAATGAAGGTGGGAAAATCAAGCGGTCAAATGAGTAGCTTGAGATGACCGTTAGGAAACTGCCTAATGACCACACAGGGAGTGAGGCTGTGATTACAAAGCTTTTACGGTCCCTCTGATAACAGGTACTGACTTGTGTTTCACCTTAAACAAAACTGTTACAGTAATATTGACCTCACAGCGCTCATCAGTAACTTCCTCCTCCCTCAGGCACTTTACAACGAGTACGTCCATTTCAAAGAGACAGAGATCCCTACGAAGGAGATCGAGAAAGGTCACATAGAACACCTCTACAAACTGCTGGAGGTAAGAATGAACAGACATGAATGAGGGTGAACGACGAGCACAGAGTGTGGAGATGGAGGAGAAGGTGACCAACATTTGGCACCATGTGCAGAGCTGATTGTACATCATGGGTTTCAAGCTCAGGGGGGTTTAGGGAGTATGTCAACAACAGGATGAGGGATAGAGTTTTGTTATCAGCGGGTCTGTGCGAGATCAGTCGTACATTTGTCTCCTGAAGCAGAGTCACTTCCATCGCTGTGCTGTTATCAATGCTGCAGATTGTTTTATTAAACACATGATAGCTGATAATAGTCCCTCCTTTATTCTCACTCAGCTGATTGTACCAGAGTGTTAAACTGCGGTGGGACTTATGATCACTCCTAAATGTAACTGTGATGTAATAGAGGCTTTTAATGGAGTGTGCTAGTGCCACTGTGTGTGTGTGTGTGTGTGTGTGTGTGTGTGTGTGTGTGTGTGCTTGCACTGAAGCATGGTAGGATGTTAAAGGTAATTTGATATTGGGGTGAATTGTCCCATTAAATATGTACCAACTGTGTGTTTGAATGTGTGTGCGTCCAGGTGTGGATAGAGTTCGGTCGTATTAAGCTTCCTCAGGGCCTCCATCCCAATGACCTCGAGGAGGAGTGGGGCAAACTCATCCTGGAGATGCTGGAGAGAGAGAAGGCTCTACGGCCGGCTGTGGAGAGGTATACACTCACTAATACATACACACATGCACACACATCCATTCAGATGTCTACTTTCAGCAGGATGCATGCCATTAAATCAAAAATGCTGATGCAACTCCAACTCATTCAATTTCTTTAACCTCCATTTGTGTGTGCGTTTTCAGGCTAGAGCTGCTGCTTCAGAGGGCCAATAAGATCCAGAACATGGCTCTGGACTGTGAGGAGAAACTCACGCTCGCTAAGAACACACTCCAGGCTGTGAGTACTCAACCTCTCATATCTTACATCCTTTTAATTTCCTCATACACAAACACACACACATGCAGGGTCGTCGGGTTTATATTATGCGAATGTTGGCATGGTTATTTACAATGTGTTAATATGTACACGCTGTAAACACAAGTGCCATTCTCAGGACAATAAATATTTCCTCACCACTCTTCCTGCTTTCTGCAAACACAGTCTCTCTTTCGTCTGTCTGTCTGTCCGCCTGTTGCTGTGTGAGTGCAAACTTACTTTAAAGAACTGTAAATGGTCTAGTCCTTTCCTCTATGTCTCGATCATTTTGGTTTCTTTGGGCTGTGTTGCTAATCATCTAACCTATTGAAGAGAATCGTTTTACTTTGTCCACATAGTTGCTGTATTACGACCCTCATGTACATATATATACAGTTTTTCTGTTCCATTTACTGAATCTATGGCTGGGGAACAATAAACTGCAAGACATCATAGCTTATAAAAAGACCCTAAGCAGAGTTAGCAAATAAACAAAAACGCAAAGGCTCATCAAACCTCCTCTGGTGTCCAGGACATGTCTCGAGTGGAGAGCGGCGAGGCGGTGCAGTGTGAGCGAGAGCTGGCCTGCTACCTGCAGGACTGCGAGACTCTGATCAGACAACTCAACCAGGAACTGAAAGTCCTCCGAGATGAGAAATACTACCAGGTGGAGCAGCTGGTGTTCAGGTGAGTTGATGGGGTTGATTCTGTGGAGGTGACTGGCTCAGTTTACTCAATGAGGAGTGAGTGAAGTGGTTCTTCTGTAATTCAATAGTATAATATAGATAAGTACCTCAAATACAAACAGCTCATCATGCTTCATTATGGGTCAACAAGTGCTGTTGCGTTCTGCCATTAATTCCTGTAATCATCTGCTTCAGTTAATGTGCTCCACTGTTTGCTATTTATTAAATATCTGAAGGTGCTCTGATTCAAATCAGTGGTGACTAAAGACATGATGAAAGAGAAGCTTCATATTGCAGCTCATCAGCATGCAGCTGAGTTTCAGACTGCCATTATGAAACTTAATTAAATAGCCATTTTGATAGTCTGCCAATGTGTGATTCTCTTCAATGCAACTATGAACTTATTAAAAAACTGCACTTTATTAGGAACATACCTTTTTAAGACAGTTAAAGAAAATATTTTAAACACAAGTACAAACAGAGAAAGATGACATCACAAAAAACCTATCCAAACACACCAATAGACCATAAAAAACGGGGATCAGAGGCTAAGAAGAATCATGGCAAATAATGGCACCTGGTAAAAGCAATGAAATTGCTCTTTAAAAGGTGATTTAAAATACTTTTAAACATGTCAAGAGAGGGTAAAGTTTCTAGGTTTAATTTGCCTTGCAGCTTATTCTAAGCTTTCAGGGCGTTAAAAGGAAAAAACAGATTCACACAGCTTTGTTTGGGTGGTTGGGACCATGATGAGAATTTTTTCTGATGATTTTGTGTCAAAACTACTGCAAGAATATGTCAGTAAACTGGATATGTACCGTGGTAATTCACCCAGCAAAGCTCTTGCGGTAAAAATTAATTCATTTTTGTGTCGCATCACCAGAGTGTCCTGCCTTCAGGAGGAGCTGGTCTCCCTCAGACTGCAGTGCTCCAGTGTCTACAGGAAAGGCAACTTCACCCAGGCGCTGGGCACCACGGGGGCAGAGTATCCCAGCCAGAGAGCCACAGACAGCGGCCTGACGTTGGGCCAGACACTGCTGGGAGCTGTGGGGGCTGTGGGTGCAGTCGGTGCTGCACTCCTGCGGCGACCCACAGCTCGCTCTCAGCTGGTGGCTATGTCGTCATCAGAGGACGAGGGGAGCCTGAGGTTCATCTATGAGCTGCTCGGATGGGTGGAGGAGACGCAGGTCAGTCTCTGTAACACTTCAGTTTAGTAAAGATTATTTTCATGTTGATTATTTTCTTCATAATTCTATTAATCGCTTGGTCTATGAAATGTCAAGAAAACAGAGAAAAAAATGCACATTACAATTTCTCAAATGTCAATAAAGGTTTTGATTTCTTAAACCAACTATCCAAAACCCAAAGATATCAGTTTACATGACATGAAATGGTTGTTCCTGTGTGTTTCAGGAGCTTTTGGAGCGTGCTGAATGGGGCGCAGACCTTCCCTCTGTAGAAAACAACCTCCAAGAGCACAACACCATACACACTGCAGTGGAAGAGCTAATGAGTGGCCTACAGGAGGCACGCAGCTACGAGGTGCACACATCACACATCACTTATACATGAACACAGAGATCTTTTTGCTGAGATTTGTGCTTTGTAACGAAGCTTCTCTGTCCTCTCCTTCAGGCTAAAGTTTCTCCAAACTTCAAGAGCAGTTACTCTGAAACCCTGGCCAAGCTGGAGCATCAATACTGCAAACTACTGGTTAGTCTTTCAGATAAAAAAAAAATGTTTTGTGTGTGTGTGTGTGTGTGTGTGTGTGTTTGTTGTAGCACACTTCTTTGTTTCCCAGTTCACCCCCTTCCTCAGCTAATCCCATTACACCATGACAGGACTCTGATGCTAAGAACACGCAATCCTGCATCTGCTGTCTTTGTCTTCAAATTCCCCCCTTTTCTCTTTAAATGTCTTTGTCTCCTCTTGTTTCGCCTCTTTTCTATTCCTATACATATAGATATTTTTTTTAATTTTTTTTTTATTAAATTTCTGATATCTATATATTAATTCCTAACACTACACATATTCACACTTTTTTGTGAATTTCACTGTCTTTGTTGGATAAAAATACTGTTTGTCCCTTTTGTTGGGTTAAATATTCATTCTTGAAGTCCTACATTCTCCTTATAGTTCACTAACAGTTTTGAGTGCATGTGCTCACTGATGAAATAAAACAAAAAGAGAATATTATCCAGAGGAACCTTAAAGGGATATTTCATCCACAAAATAACAGTTTTTGTCTCATCTGTCAGTGAACAGAGAATGTAACAAAAGCAAACATCCTCATGAATTGTAGTAAATGGGGACCGCGTTAAACAACAGCAGAACTACACCAAATGATCCGTTTATACAATGCAAGTCTGATTTATCCAGTCGTAGGCTTAGGACTTCCCAAACACGTGCATGCGAGAAAACCAAAGTTTTCTTCATGAATCCAAGGTAATATGCAGTAATTGATATACAAATGGCCATGTAGGTATACCTTTAATAATAGAGTATATACTTTGTACTGTGAGTTAATACATCCAGTTATAAAAAAGTAAACCACAAATTAAGGTAGAGGAGTAGACTCATTAGTGATTTCCATAACCACAAACAATATCACAAAATGGTCTATATGTTAGGGCTGGGTATCGGTACTTGATACCTTTAAAGTGTCGACCAAAGTAACCCAGTACCAAGAAGTATTGAAACACCCTCAGTCAAACGATACCTGCATGCAATCCTTTTTGCACCGGGGTGTGATCCTGGACTGTCCCAACTCCCTGCTGGATCAGCAAACTTATTGTTGCAGCCATCTCCGGGGCCACTCCCCTTTTCATGAATGGTCAGTTCACCGTCTGCACGAGCTAACACAGCAGCGGCCAACATCCAACACCGAGCCTTTTAATGGTCCCAACAAACTTGCACAAACACCGAAACGGCTCGACTCTGTCGTCAAACCCGTTATTAACTGTTACATTAGCTATGCGATGCTAATAGTTAGCCCTGTCACTTTGAGCTCACACTCCCGCAGCTACAACCCTTTAGTCTATGCTGTGGTGAAGTGAAGTGAAGAGAGCAGAGCTGCCATCAAATCGTTAAAAAGTATGAATATATGACATGTATTTCATTCACATTATGAGCATCAAATGAAGGACTCTATTGGTATCGGTATCTCTTTAAGGGTACTGGTGTGGGTACTGGTATCATATCTTTTTAAATGATACCAAGCCCAACTATATGTGCTGCAGCAATTCTGAAAAATGGAAGTTACTAAAAAATGAAAAAGAAATCACAGTGCACTTCTTCTTTGATTGTGAAGACATTACATGTAAGAAAACAATGCCTCTTAAAAGATGAATCTGATTCTTGTCATAAAATCTCATCTAAACCTGGGTCAATAAATGCCTCTAATTCACATTCAGGTGACTTGTTTGGTCTCTTTGCAATTTGTTTCTTCCTCTGATAGACTTCTAGGAAAGTCCTCACAGTGCTTTATTCCAAACTCCCTGTAAATGTACCAAAACCAACAGTATAATCCAAACATCCAGAGAATAAAGGATGTTGTTTTTTTTTCCTCTCTGCACTGCTGATCAGCACGATGATGATGTTTGTTTGTGTGGTCGCCATAGGAACATTCGTCATGGCGCCTGCGGAGCTTGGAGAGCCTGCATGCATTTGTGTCGCACTGCACTGAGGAGCTGATCTGGCTCAACGAGAGGGAAGAGGAGGAGATTGCCTTCGACTGGAGCGACAACAACACCAACATGAACGCCAAGAGAGACTTATACAGCGTGAGTGGAAGGAGGAGGGCGACACCTTTCTGTCGAGTCAGAAAACACAGGCTGCAGACCACAAAACTCCAGATGATGTTGATTCACTCTTATTGAAAGAAAAACATGCATAAAACAAGCCACCTTACAATTTCTACACAGCACAATTATGTCCAAACATGTCTCTACATATGTCACTAGTGTTTACATGCACTGAAACACTATGTTTACATCACGCCAGTACCATTAAAATCCTGTAATCTGCTTTACCATCCATGTTTTCCTGCTCTGTTTACAGGAAATGAGGTTAGAGCTGGATGAAAAACAAGACGTGATGCGGTCGCTCCAGGAAACAGCCAACCGTCTGTGTCTCGAGAACCATCCAGCCAAACAGACTGTGGAGGCGAGTCTGACTTTATTCAGTTAGACTGAGTGACCTTTAAAGATGTCGGGGTTTTGCCACTGTGACTCACTGGGGGGAAAAATTCAAACACAAATGCTTTTGTTAAAATGCTGGCTTTTTTCACTGAACTGTGCACTTGATGATATTTTGTTTTATTTTAATAAATGTAGATTGGATTTAAAAGGGCAGAAGGCAAACTGTGACCTTTTGTAAACCAAACATTAAATTAAAACTACAGTTTGAAGGTGCAAAATCCTTTTTGCACCATTCAGATGATTTGTTTTTCATGCTTTACATGTTCAGTCTGCATATTCTCTGCCACTGTGTGTGTATTACTGCACAGCCAAAAAGAATATAGGACAGAAAAATAGTGTTAAAAGTCAGAAGTTATAAAATATGCCTGGGAAAACTGACTCTGTGCCGCTCAACATCCCCGTTGGAAGCTTGTACTGCAGTGTGATAAAAAGATATTTGCTCTCTCTCTTCCCTCTGTCTCCATCTCTCTGCATGTTCTCAGGCATACAGTGCAGCCCTGCAGACTCAGTGGCAGTGGGTGAACCAGCTCTGTGTGTGCGTGGAGCAGCATCTCAAAGATAACACGGCATACTTCCAGGTGAGGCAACTACCAGGCACACATGTCAGTGTAGTTTTGCTCATGAACAGAAACTGAGCTTTGAGCACAAACACAAATGAAACATGCAGAATCTCCAGGATATATAGTCAACTTGTTTTTGCAATTTCACTGTATTTTTTTTTACCAAATCCACGACAACCTCTGCTTGTTACCACTTATATATACACAATTACAAATTAAGAGGACTGTAACAGTGTGTCTTCACGTTACATACGTATTCTACAAGAAAATCATTGTTTGAATATCCTCCAGGCTCCTGTAAAAACCATGCTCATGTTTTTATTTCTGTCTCTTGTGTCAGTTTATGAGCGATGCTCGGGACTGTGAGTCGTATCTACGCCAGCTTCAGGAAACCATCAAGAGACAGTACACCTGTGACAAGAACAGCAGACTGAGCAAACTGGAAGACCTGCTGCAGGACTCAATGGTATCTATCCCCATTCAGTGTTCAGTTCTCAGTGGTACATTTGTCAGCTTTACTGGCAACTCTGACAATTCCCTCCAGGAGAGAAACGCCCATTTTTGTATAGTTAATTTTTTAGTATACAGCATTTTAAATAACCGTTATCCCTCAGATGTTTGATCTGTGCTTTGCCTACAGTAAATGAAGGTACTGAATTCCTGGACAGGCTAGATAGATAAAACAAACTGAAGGCACTCATTTTTTCTTGGATAGTTTCAGTGCCCTTAAGCAAGGCATTTTACCTCTGCTCTTTATAGATGCTGGAAACAAAGCAGCAAAGATTTTATATAGACATAGACAGACATACAGACACCTGAACAGCAGTATTTGACATTTCCACGTTGGCTTTATTTTTCAGCCCTGGAAGTTGCTGCTTGGTGCACTGAGCAAACCTACACATGATTTACATGACAAATGCAAAATAATCCTGGACAGAGGAATGATACGGCTGTAAGAAACTAAAGACACCTATAGTAGCTGAAGTGCTAGCATACCACTGCCCTCCTTATTGTTGTGCTGTGCTCCAGGCAGCTGCAGCACGCAACATGACAGGGTGAAGTAATCTGTTAGGGAGTGCCTTCGCTGAATCATCCCCCTTGTGGCACATTTGCGAGACTGCCATCTTCACACCTATCTCTCTCTCTCACACACACACACACACACACCACTGACTTCAAGCAGATGGCAGAGTTAGTGTGGGCAAAGCTCCACAGGCTAGAGCAGTGAGAGGATCTTCTCAATAAAGAGGTGTGTGCCTGTGTCATAAACAGCTGTTCTTTGCACAGATCTGCGTGTTCGGTCCGCTGTGTGTCTATATTCACATGCTATCTCTCAGTGTTTACATGTATTTGTGTTTGCGTCTGTACGCCTGCTTCTGTTTGTGCGTGTGTGTTTCCAGTTTGCTGTGCTCCATCTCTCACTGGGAGGGCGAAGCTTCCACCGTAGACTGTTTCTGAATCACACAACTGAGAAAGAACAGCTGGTCCTTTTGTTTGACTCTCATAATAACTGAGGAGAGGATATTAAATCAGGCTTTTCACCCTCTTTCAGGCAGAGATTAGAGCGTAGGAAAGGTGTTTGCTCACTCTTGCAGTAGTCCATTTTGTTTGCACTCTGTTACATTTATTTTGTTTGCTGATATTAAACTCCTTCATCATATAGGGCAAAAGAAGAAGCATTTGTGTCACTGAAGATAGATAAATGCATTTTTGTGATTTGGTGCACGTACAGACAAGCTTCCCTTTAAATGCAATAACAGGGTCATCACTCCTAAAGTGACTCAGCATTTCATCGGCCGGGGTACATTTTAAAGCTTCTCCGATAATTGAATTGTTCTCATATTGATGATTGTTGATCCTATGGTAATAATGAATTTGTAATTCCTCATGCCTTCATATGTTCATTTATCTCTGTATTACTTATTTCTTCCCAGCTTGCCATAAACTTGTCATAGTAGCCGTCCCAGTGTGAAATTCATTTTGGAAGTGTCATGTATGAAGTTATTTATAGGCCGAGGCTCTTAGCTTCCCTCTCTCTCACTCACTCTGTCTCATACTCTCACTCGATTCATCTCCTTCTGTCTGTACCTGTCTCTGTGTTTTTGTCTCTCCATAATGAATCCTTAATGACTCTCTGCTGGGGGCGAGACAGAAATTAAATCTAATTCTACCTGTTAGGGTCAAGAGCACACCTTTTAAATGTTTAATGGTTAGCGCCCGAGCTAACACAGGCAGCAGAGTCATGAAGTCCACTCATGTCAGAGGCTACAGGCTAATAGGCTAATCATACTTTGAAGGACCTGCACCGTATTCTAACAGGAAGTGTTGGCTTAATGTGTTTAATATGACTTGGCAGATTCTTGTGGTATAAAATCAATGACTTAAAGAATGATACAAAGTGAATATCTTTAGTTGGGGATGGCAATGTCAGTCAGTCAACCACTGTGGTCCAGACTTAAATGTCTCAACAATTGCTGGATGGATTTTCATAAAAAAAAATTTTTTTTTCATACATTCACGATCCCCAGAGAGGAAGGCCTAAAGACTGATGATTGACAGTTTGAATGATTTTCTCTGCCCTGTAGGAGGAGAAGGAGCAGCTGATTGAGTACCGCAGCACGGTGGCAAGCCTGGTCGGCCGAGCGAAGACGGTGGTGCAGCTCCGCCCCCGCAACGCAGAGAGCACCCTGGGAGCCACAACACCCATTAAGGCCATCTGTGACTACAGACAGATAGAGGTATGCGACCCACCATATGTTCCACTTCATGAACATGTGGGTGTGCAAAGGCAAACATCCTCATGAATTGTAGTAAATGGGGAACGCGTTAAACAACAGCAGAACTACACCAAATGATCCGTTTATACAATGCAAGTCTGATTTATCCAGTCGTAGGCTTAGGACTTCCCAAACACGTGCATGCGAGAAAACCAAAGTTTTCTTCATGAATCCAAGGTAATATGCAGTAATTGATATACAAATGGCCATGTAGGTATACCTTTAATAATAGAGTATATACTCTGTACTGTGAGTTAATACATCCAGTTATAAAAAAGTAAACCACAAATTTAAGTAGAGGAGTAGACTCATTAGTGATTTCCATAACCACAAACAATATCACAAAATGGTCTATATGTTAGGGCTGGGTATCGGTACTTGATACCTTTAAAGTGTCGACCAAAGTAACCCAGTACCAAGAAGTTTTCTTTCGCTCAGGAAATAGTTACTGTACGTTTCTTATGCTGGGAATCTGTTAACCTAGTTGATCTGAAATAAAACAGCCGTGTTGTCCCCCATCTTAGCTCTAAGACACCCTGCAAGAACGCCTCTGACTACCCGGACAAGGTTTTGACAGTGTGCAGAACCAGCTCACCACTGACCTCACCACTCTATTGTTTTAACCTTCACCACCAACTGCCTCCTCTCTGCCCTGCACTTCCGCTCCAAGCCCCCTCCACACATCCACTTTGTGGCTGTTCTATTTTAGCTCCTTCCCCCATGCTGTTAAATTAACTTTTATAGACTACAGCAGTGGAATTTTTTTTTGTAACTTTCTCCAACTGTTCTCACTTCATTTTAACTGGCAAGTACAAATAGCAGCGTTCAGTTCAGAAGCCGAATAAGCATAATGATTATAATCCAGAATTTATCACTGACATTTTCCTTTGTTCTCTTCAGAAATCTTTGTAAAAGCCCAAAATAGCCACTTTGAAGTAAAGAAATGATTAATGAGAAGAGAACAGTTGTGCATTGATTCCCCTCAGTGCCACTTTTATATAACGGGCATAGAAACAAGTGAAGTTTTTCTCTCACCCTCTCACTCTCAGCTGTGATGTCCTCAGGGAATCTAAAAGCCAATAAATTATACATCTGTCTCATCCCCGTTGCAGGCTCAGATGAAGACCAGTACCTAGCACTCCAGCAGTGTGGACACGCCGCAATCCCTTTGCTGCTATTTTTAGCTTGCTGTGTTAGATTCCTCAGGGTCAATTAGTTCATCGAAGCATACTGTATGTGAGGTGTTGTATCCAGGTGAAGATGAAGGTGGTCTGGTCTTCTACTGCATCACAAGTCTAAAAGGAAGATGGAAGTTGCCACAGAGCTAAAAGTTATAGTAATAAAAAAAAAAAAAAAAGCTATGTGTGCTGATATTCACCAAACCTCTGGACGAACGTGCACATGACCAATAGTAATCTTTCTCTCCTCACTCTCCTGTGTCTCCTCCTTTCTCTCCATACCCTCATGTACCTTTTTTTGCCTTTCCCTTCTCACTCCCTCCTCCTCCTCTTCTTCCTCCTCCTCATCCTCTTCCCTTCCTCTCGTCTGTCGGCTGGGCTGGCAAGACAAACGTTCAGGTATAGCTGCCTATATTCTCCCTCTCTCACCTCAGATTCTTACACTGCACACACACTGCACTGCCCTGGTTGCTCCTCTCTTTTCAGCTGATGTCAGGTGTCAGTCATGTAAAGTGAGGCCACTTTGACTGAGATACCTGCCCTAGTACAGTGGGTATTTTGAAATAAAATTAGTAAAGCTGTAGGTGTGTATGAATTTGATCTGAATACCTTCCATTCATTGGATTTTCCACGCTTAAACTTAAATTGGAAATGCAAAATTGAGCCTAACACCAATCTCCATCAGAACAAAATGCTAAAGTGTGGTCATTTTCTATATCGTATCAAAGAGTGATCCGTATGGATTAACCTTTGTTTGTGCACAGGGCAACCCGTTGTGTTTTATTGTAGGGCTGGGCAATATATAGATGTTTTATTGATATCATGATAGGACAGATTTTGGATATCATCACATTAAGTGATGTAGTTTCCTGAACTTACCAGACTGTTCTATGATCTGCCTTTGCTCACTTCAAGCTCTTTTTTTTTCCCAGTGCAATGCGAAAATGTGGTGTAGAGACACATAGAATTCCTATGCAAATTTCCTTGTGACACCAAGGGTCCATTGCAAATTATCCACGTTGCTGTGTTTCATTTCATCTAGAAAAAGAGGAGAGCTTCCTCTTACTGTGGCTGTGTCCACTCCTCACACCAAAATGTTAATTCCTGATAATGGACACCTCATCTGGCATTATCCCTTCCATAATGCCGACCATTATTCTGTATAGTAATTAGCCGTGTGCATCTATATGTTTGAGAATGATGCGATAAATAGATGAAGAAATATACATTGCCACAGAACAGATCGATTTCATTATAATCATTATTTGGAATGATTACTTCACTCTCCCTACAGTTAAAAAAAAATGTTAACAAATGCATATGTTAACAAAAGATGTCCCTGTTTTAGCAGCTATCAGCCATGACCTGGAGGTATAACATCAGTTAGAACAAAGCATTTCATTGATTAAACATATATTTTTGCAGGGGTAAATCTACTGGTCTGTCTGAATTTATTTTTTCCTTACATGGATGTTCTGCAGCAATGTGCAAGCATTTATAAGGACCCATAAAATCTGTTTTTATGACTTGCCTTGTGAATTTTTCTGACAAAAAAAAATCATGCTTGGTGTGACAAGGCTTTAAGTCATTATATCCACATTACTGATAATTATTTATCAAAAATCTCTGTGGGATATTTTGTGAAAGCACCAGTAGTCAACCCTACAATATAATCGCAATATTGGGTCAAAAATATTGTGATATTTGATTTTTTTTTTCCATATTACCCAGCTCTATCTTAATGCCACCAGATTTCTGCTATCTCTCAAAATTTGAGAGTAGGAATTTTTGTAATTGAAAATGTGGACAAACCAAAGACAATGGAACTGCCTTAAGAGGTTGGAATTGTGACAGTAAAGGCAGACACAAACACTGTTTCATCTCCTTGTGTCCACCATTTATTTTGTCTACTGTTTTACGTACTAATACTCTCATACTGACTGCACAAGAGGTGAAAAGTGAAGAAGTAGTTTAGTGTCGGCATCAGCGTTGATAAGGGCAGGTGGCAATCTGCCTGAACTGAACTGAATCTAACACATGCCTCTGAGGCTCATTCAGTCAGTCAGACAATAACAAGCCACAGCTTTAAGCTTGAATTTACATTTCATTTATTTACCGTATGTGCATAGCTTTGCATTATTGATGTATTGATGGTGTGTGTGTGCAGGGAAGGGGTGAGAGAGGGTGGTGGGTGAGGGAGGCAGTACAGCAGCAGCCCTTTTTATATGCAGCCCTAAAACTCTTCCCCACAGCCATGGCTTTGCTTTTTGTTTATTTTAGACGTGAATTTTCTTTGTTGTTATCCTGTGCTGGGTTTCTTTAAATCACCATGTCAGTATTTTTTTTTTTTCTTGTTGCTAAATTTGTGAAACCCAACCCAGGTTTCAATTAACCCAGTAAACTACCAATAAACTCACTCAGAGTTTGGAAAATATTTGCTGCTTTCACTATAAAAGCTTTCAGTTTAGAGGTGCAAAGCAGCTTTCAGTCCACGTGACATCATTCATGTGTCAAGGTCTCTAATGTCGCATAATTTTAGGGCTTCTGCTAACTTCATGAAATTCACGAGTGTTTGCATTTTGTGTTGCATTATGAGTTTGTTGTGATCAGCCCTTTGTTTATATGTTTTCACTTCTCTTCTCGATTCCTTCTCTTTTTCATCTCACCTGTCCTCCATCCACCTCCATCATCTTTCATTTAAACCACCATAATCCGTCCTTTGTACTCATTTTCTCTCTTACTTTGTCTTGTTCTTCATATTCTATTCATCTGTTCCTCCTTTCTCCCTTTGTCGCTCCCAACATCTGTCTCTCCATAACCTACATTCCTTCTTTTTTTCTTTCCTCCTCCATCCATCCCTCTCTCCTATTCTGTTTTGGCATCTATCCTGCTCCCCCGCCTCCTCTCAGATCACAATAAACCGAGGCGAGGAGTGTGTGCTTGAGGACAACTCCCAGAGGACCAAGTGGAAGGTTATCAGTACGACAGGGAATGAGGCCATGGTCCCCTCGGTGTGTTTCACCGTCCCACCTCCAAACCAGGAGGCCATGGACACAGCCAGCAGGTGAGACACAAATGTGAAACATAACATCAGTGTTATTTTGACACTCAATGACAGGACAATTGATGGTTGTAAAGTCAATGATGAGGTGTGGATTTTTTTGGTTTCCAAATTGTTACATGTACATGTCAAGAAATGGTAAGTTAAAGGGACAATAGAGTGTGAATTTTCATTCTTGCCACAGACAGTTTTTTCTAAAAATATAAACAAAACCAAAAATTAACTGAGGTTAATTTACAATTTTAGAAATCTAGCAATTATATTCAGTCAAAGTGGAGTACTATCTAGTTCCATTATATTGGAGGGAAGGCAGACATCTCTATGGCCGATATCTCCAACACTCTGCAACTAACAGCAAAACAATCTAGATTCATACATAACACTAGAAGTAAGAGGAAAAATATGTATTTTGGATTTGGGGGTGAACTGTCCCTTTAATATAGGTAGCTCAGTAATAGTTTTTATAATAATGATAATAATTTGTAACAGTGACATCATTTTTTTTTTAAACAGATGACACATCATTTCAGAATCAAAATCTTTGACTCAACACTGTTGTGTGTGTGTGTGTTTGTACAGGACGGAGCAGCTTTATCAGAAGGTCATGTCTCTCTGGCATCAGCTACATGTGAACATGAAGAGTGTAGTGTCCTGGCACTACCTGCAAAAAGACATCAGGACTGTCTCCGGATGGAACCTGGACACGGTGAGACTCAGGGTCTTTAATTTTGTATTCAACTCTTCTCTTTTCTCCTCCTCTGCTCTGTCCCTGTCCTCTTCTACTCTGTCATACTTACCTTTCCCCCTCTTTGTCTCACCTGTCAGGTTCGTTGTCAGTCCCCATCAGAGCGGCAGCAGGTCCTGGATCACTTGGAGTCTCAGTTGGCTGACTTCCTGTCTGACAGCAAAGAGAGTTCCATGTTCACACCAGGTGAAAGACGAGAGCTTGAGAGGGATGTTCAGCAGGCCCAACAGCACTGCAAAGACTTGCTGCACAACATGGAGACCGGTGAGACAAATATACCTTCATGGATCCATATACGTCTCCTAAAGTGACGTGGTTTAGATTTACCACCAAATGCTGTGATGTTTTTTTTTGTCTAAGGTAGATTAATCTTAAAGGTTCACCACCAACTTTTTGAGATGGTGTTGAATGTGTTGCATATAATTCAGTGTTTTCAAACAGTATCCCTGCTGAACACTGAACCCCAGTCTGACCTACAGCCAATAAAACTAAAACAAATAACAGCTCTGTATCAAACAGGGGAGCATCCAGAGCTATGCACACTTTATCAGTGAAAAATGCATGTTCACAAGAAAATCAGTTTTGTAATCACTGAATAATGAACACTGGTACTTTTTAAAAGAAACAGGCGTACTGTTCATGCCCAAAATAACTCTTTTCTCTCCTTGTCTTTCTCTCTTGTCTCCCTACAGTGGAGAAAGATGAGTCAGTCTCTCGGTCATACCTGTCGGAGCTGCAGAACATAACCCTTCAGCTAAAGGAGGCTGAGCAGAGACTGATGAGGGCAATTGAAACTCCGCCCCCCAGCCGGCTGTCAGGTGACAGTGCTGACTACACTGTCCAGATAGCAGAGCAAGAGGTCAGTTTGAGCCCCATCTGCTGGTTGCAACAGGCAATAACACCTCATAATAAAATTAATATTGCTTTTTATCAGTTAATATCTCTTGAAAACTGTTCTTTAAATATTGACTTCAGAATTTAAACTCTTCTACAGGAAAGTGCTGACTTTCTTCTTCTTTTTTTTTAAGATATTTTTTGGGGCATTTTTGCCTTTAATCGATAGGACAGACAAGTGTGAAAGGGGGAGAGAGAGAGGGAGTGACATGCAGCAAAGGGCCACAGGCTGGAGTCGAACCCAGGCCACCTGGGCGCCTGCTCTACCACTAAGCCACCAATTCCCCGACTTTATTCTTCTTTCTGGGCCTTTTTGCAATCATGCTTCTGTTTTAGAGCAGAGGTGTAATTACTTTGCTCAGCGTTGCCAGATTTATCGTCCTTTACCTGCCAAAAAGTTGTTTTTAAACTTGAAAAGAGAGCTGTAATTAGGTTTTAATATTTTTCCAAGCCTTAAAGTATCAATTTATGTGGTCAGTGTATCTAGATAAAAAGAATACAATTGCGTTAGAACTGGAAGAGGGAGATGGGCATGGTAGCATGAGGTGAATAAAGATCTAATGAAAGGAGGTGCACCACAAGTAGAGCTTTGTATTAGCTTGTCAGTCATTGTGAATAAATCAACCTGATTTTATAAAAGTGAGCCACATTTTTATTTACTTCACATCACATTTCTTGTCCAGAAGCTGCAGTCAGAGCTTGATGTCCTGCGCTCCAGTTTGGGTGATGTGTCTCGGCGCTGCGTCAGTTTCTTTGAGGAGAAGTCAACATCATCCAGCGTTCCCATCCTCCGATCTGAGCTCAATCAAGCCGTGGAGAAGACTGACAAACTGCACAACCTCTCGTCTGTCTACCTAGAAAAGTTAGTGAGCTTTTTCTCCTTCTGTTTATTGGTTAACTATGAGATATAAAAGAATGTTTTATTTACAAAATGCCTCTATGTTTTACCTCCCCAGGTTAAAAACAGTAGACATCCTGATGCACAGCCTAGATGAAGCAGAGAGCGTGGTCAGGAAGAACGAGAGCAGACTAAGTGAAGAGGACATTGTTCCTGCTGACACAACGGCCATTCAAAATCTCAGAGATCAACTAGGGGTAAGAGAAACACTGTTGTATAAACTCATGCTTCATGTCGTGAAACTATCAGTCTAACTTTTTCCCTGCATCCTTTCCATTTTACCTCTCTGCAGAAGTGGCAGGCTGAGCTTGTCGAGCACGAAGGTATCTTCCAGTCTCTGCAGTCGGAGGTAGGTCGGGCCAAAGAGGCGGGGTCTCAGCTCAGCAGGCTCCACCCAGACCGCAGCCCAGAGCTGGAGCGCTACCAGGAGAGAGCCAATCAGATGACAGAGAGGTGGAGCGGAATCAAGAGACAAATGGAGACACGGTGAGCAAGATGGGATGAAGATAACAAAAAGAGAAAAGAATTGGGGAAGAGAGAAGGATTTTTAAGTTTAAATAGCAGAGTGATCTATTGTCTTGCTTGAAAACACTCATGCACATACTGGATACTTAACGTTCCTGTTTAATTGCAGACGAACCGATCTAGATGCCCTGGGCTCGGCCCTGCAGCAGTACAGAGATGGTCATTCTGCTCTGATCAAATGGATCGAAGAAACGACAGAAAGACAAGAAAACACACAACCTGGACAGACAGACAGCAAAGCACTGTCTGAACAGTTGGCCCAGCAGACGGTTAGTAAGACTGGTGCCATAGACTGTAGGTTGATTACATTGAACAGATGGTTTCCTGGAAGGACAACGATAAAATGGCATCTACACATTTTACCTGACAAACTTGAATAAATGATTTGTATTGTTTTTTTGTTTGTTTTTTTCAGGCATTAGTAGCTGAGATTGAACAGAACCAGACCAAACTGGACGAGTGCCAGACTCACTCCAAACAGTACTGCACCTCAGTGAAGGTAGAAGGCTGTTTCTCTTTTCACATACAATATGTCAAAAATGTGAAATTGTTTTTGAATATTTTTACAGTTCAGTTTGGGTGGAGCTGTTTCACTGTAATGGTTCACATTATCTGGTAGTCACTGTTTTGTTCTGTGTTGTGTCAAGACTACATGTAAATGCATTTGATGTGTCAGTTTACAAACTAGTATGACATTTTCCAGAATACTTGTATCTTGTCTTTTGGTTGATAGCACAGCTGTGGCATTTTACTGACCTGTGTCCCACCATGACTGTATTATGCAGGATTATGAACTTCAGCTGATGACCTACAGAGCCTTTGTAGAATCTACACACAAGTCACCTGTCAAGAGGAGGAGGATGCACTCTTCCTCTGACGCCATCACTCAGGAGGTGAGGATAAAGAGAGTCTGGTTTGCTCTTGTGATTAATATTACTAAGTCTTTAAAAATTAAGATAATTAATCTATATGCAGTCTATTGCTGATATCCTGTAATTGTTTCTGGGTGTATCTCTACAGTTTATGGACTTGCGCACACGATACACAGCCTTGGTCACCTTGACGACCCAACATGTAAAGTACATCAGTGATGCATTGAGAAGACTAGAAGAAGAAGAGGTAGGACTTTGTTTCACTATATATCACTTTTAATTTGTGGTTGGTTTACATCACTGTTGCTTCACAGTGAGAAGAACTTGTGTATATTTGTCCTGTAGTGAAAAGTATCAATTTAAAAAATATTGTCATCACATCATCATCAAGGATTGCCTGAACAAGAGAGAAAGTTTCACATTTATCTTGTATATATTCACAGAAAGAGGTGGAGGAGGAGAAGCAGGCCAGGGTGGGGCAGGTTTCAGACCTGCTTGGCTGGGTCAAAGGCCTCCAGGGGCGGACTGGGGGCCCCAACGCTGAGTCTTCACTTGCTGCTCAACAGGTACAGCAAAAAATCTAATAAATGTTGGTTCTAAACATTATTTGACAAACAAGTTGTCTGTGAGTATTTTATATCACAGTAGCTCAGCGGGCTGTTTGTTCTGTGCAGCTCACAACTGTATGTAAATATGTGTGAAAAACAATGATTCCTCATAAATTCAATGTCAGTTCCTGTTTAATTGGAACATCAAAATGGTAGGTTATGGTGGTTTTACTGTACTCGGCATATAATGCATGTGTGTTCTTCTAAAGGCCATCAGTGAACAGCTGGCAGCCAAGAAAGATGAAGTGGCTGAAGCCATAAGGAGCACTCAGGTCTTCCTGCTATCAAAACAGGCCAGCAAGTAAGCTTAGATCACATGCATGGACACACACATTGCACATGATCCCAAACACAGTCACTACATGTACTTGCAGATGTATTGTACCAGATTGTTTTTTTTATTTGCATGGGAAAAAATAACAAACAATTTTTGGGTCTGGAAAGATGAAAACCTTTTAAATATATATCTAAGCCACTGTGGGAAAACTGCATATTATTATGACTCAGCCACACATTTAACACATAAACCCCACCTGCTCTAACCCTCTCCCCTGTGTCCTCTCCAGGTTGTCCCCAGAGGAGCGAGCTCAAGTTGAGGCCCAGCTGGACGAGCTGACGGCCACGTACAACCAGCTGTGTGACAGTTCCACCCAGCAGCTGCAGCAGCTGGAGCAGCAACTGGCCAAAGAGGAGGAAAGAAAGGTAAAACGGTTGGAGGGACAGCGTGAGATGGAGAGAGGCTACTGCAGATTTGTGCCACAACTGTATTTTGCAAGCTTGTCAAAATGTCATCTTGAAAAATGTTGCTTTGAATATGCTTGCGAGCTAAGCGTGAGTTCATATGTGGGCCAGCAAGAGTGTGTGTGTTGTACAGCATGTTGTGTGTTCACAGAGTGTGCATTTTTGACAAACATCACCACTGTTGACGATGAGTCTCACGCACTGATTGGTTTGGTTTAACAAACATCACAGATCCTTCTTCAGACGTGTATTCAGATGATCTTAAAATAACATACTTTATTTTGGGAACTTTTGTTTGACCTTCTTTGTTAGGCAAGGAGAAGTTACATACAAAAGAATAATTTAAGAGTCTAAAAGATGCTGCAGTCTTTGTTATAAAACATATGTGCAGCCCAATTTTTATAAATGTGGGCACAGAAGAATCTGGGTGACACTGTCTGAATTGGGCTTCAGCATGAAGTGTTCAACTTTCACATTATTCTCATAAAAGCCTGCAGTCATTTCATTAACTACTCCCACCCTAGTTTTTGTCATCTTCATCATCATTGTCATCAGAAAACACATCTGCTGAACTGCTAACATGGTTAATACATGGCCTTAGAGGTGCCGCACTAGAGCAGCGCTGCCCAAGTCATGCTAGCAGTTAGCTAGACGCAGTAGAGCGCCTTTTTTTGTAGATCCATCTTGAGAAACAATCATTTATGAAAGAGATGCACCATCATCTCTGTAGCTGTAAAATATTATCATGTTCCTTTTTTTATGTAGTGGTAAAAAAAAAATGCCACTGCATAAAGTCAACATTACATTTCAGTATTTATTTTTACTCTGCATTATGTTTACCCCATGCATACATGTCCAGTCGACCAATTACACATTCACAGTCAGCTCTCACTTGGTGTTAAAATTGTTCCTCTCCTGGTATATGCAACATGGTACATGCAACATGGTACATAGTAGGCTTGGGCGGTATCTATTTTCATACCCTTTGAACCCTCCTGACATTTCACTGGGGTATACAGTATATAATTGTATTTGTGTAAAAAACAAGATAAAACAATGACGTTCACTCTCTCTGCCGTCGTTTACTAGTCCTGTAACGTTATCCCCACCACTCGCATCTTTCTCAGCTCAGCTGCCTGTTCCACCAGTAGAGACTGACCTCTGGTGGCATATGTTGTGCGCTACATCACCTTAATACAACATCTCCACACCAATTTAATAGAAATAGGAGCATCTGTATTTTTGATGGTATTGAAATCGTACCATTTGGATTTCTTAATACCCTGGTATTCCGTAATACCTTGATACCGCCCAAGCCTAGTACATCGACCGCAAAAGGATTGAATGTGTGTGGGAATTTTAGCTTTGAAACAATCCCTGGTGATAATTCTTATTTCTTGACGGCTGCACCATAACTGATTCCTATGTGAATGTTGTATGTTTTTACAGGGGACTTTTATGTGACAAGAAAAGTACTTACTAAAGCATAGATATTTATAAGAAGTCACTTGTAGAGCTTTAGAATGTAAGCGCACCAGAGGCCAGCTATGCAAAAACCCCACACTTCACCATTTGAGCATGTTGTGTCCAGATCACAAGAGTGTGTGTGTGAATGAGAATTTTGTCTTTGTTCTAATGCATACTATTAATGTGTGAAACTTTAAACCAGCATTTTGCTTGAAAACCACTAACAGCAGCCAAAGGAGAATTGTGGACATCTGAGCTCTGAGTCAAGGATCAGAATCAGAGATGGAAAACAAAGCAGGGCATTTGTAAATACACTAAATATGCAGATCAGTTTACTGCTAGTTAGATACCATAAGGTGTCTCTTAAGACAACGCAGTCACAATGCTTTGCAAATAATAAAGAGCCATTACCATCTTGTGATTCGTGGTATATTTGCAAGACAATAATCTGCAATTCATTGTGACATATGGTCATATAAATAAGTCGACCCACCTCTTGTCAGTTTCTTTTTAAATGTGTCATAGTATAGTTTTCTGTGTGTAAAGCTCAGCGGGAGGATTTAGTGTCAGTGCAGTGTTAGGAGTCAGAATGAAGAGTGGCATGCAGAATGCTAACAACCAGCTTCTCACCTGTCGCGCCTCGCTCTGCCGAGCCATAAGCTGGCCCATTAGTGTGTGTGCCAATGGGACGAGCCCGTACGGTAAGTAGCGCTCGCTTTCTCTCTTACCGTTGCCTGTAAGTTTTTTCTCACCTAGATATTTTCTTCTTTTCTTCTTCTGAATACTTCTGTGTTCTTTTGTGTGTCCTTGCTTACCTTTATCTAGGTCTTTTTATGCATTTTTTGTTACTAGTTGCTTTGTTGCATGCTTAGTGCTTGTTTTAGAATAACAGTGGTAAGTAGGCGCTTTGTAGACATTAAGATCTGCGGGGGGGGGGGGGGGGGGGGGGG